ACATGAGCACAAATAGAGAAAGAATAATGCAGAAATACTACTGAGAATCAATGGAGAGATCGTCTACATGCCTTTCACATTAGTCGTGGAAACAATAAATTTGATCTGCACAGGTCAGCTAAGGCTTTGGACAAAGTGATCCAAGCTTGGCCACTAAGGAGACACTGCATTTGTCCTGGTATTTCTTGCGACAGCAAGTGTGGGAGAAACACACAAAGGTTGAGGCGACAAAGTACGCTTCTATAGCTCCAATCACCAGAGGACACATGCTAAAAACTGGCTAAGAAGCCAAGATTAATAGGAAACATTACAAGGGAGATGGACAATAAATGAGACACGTTTTGCCCGCATTACAATTTTACAATTCAAGAGATCAGTTCATTTCGCCAGTTAGAACTGATTGCTCTACTGCACCCTAACATAATATGACGATAGGATTCCCCTTCTTTCGTATTTCTTTTTCTTTCTTTTTTCTTTTTTCTTCCGAGTTCAATGAATTCCCCTACAAAGTGAAGATTGGTGTTGTACTGCCTTGAAGAAGTGGGACAATGAGTGTGACTCTTTTGCATCTGAAGTGCAAGAATCAAGCAGGAGTCTGGATGCCGCCACCACAAAATTTCCATGTACCATCATACTGTCTTTTCAAAACATACCGTATTTGGTATGTGCTGCTTTGAAGAAATAAAACAGTCAAAAACTAAAGTAACATCATAAGCATGAAATTGGTAAATGCTGCTTAGAGGAAATGAAACAGTCAATAACTGAAGCAACAATCATAAACTTGCATTCTACATGGAAAGAAAGAAAAGAGGAGGAAGGGAGGGGTAGGGGAATAGCAGCAGCATTGCCAAAAGAATTCTTTTGGGAAGCTGGATTACCTGTAATAATTTGGGTTCTTGGGCTGAGATTCATCAATGAGCTCTGCAGCTTCCTCCAAGACTGCCTCTATTTCTGCCATCTCCCAGCCAATCCCATCTGATACAATCTCAGCTCTCAGAATTGACACTTGCAGTAAAAGAAATCTCCAAAAACACGACCTCAACCTTGCAGACTCTGCCAGAGCTTGCCACTGCTTGTACGAAAACACAGAGACAATCATGAAAGATAGATCTCTAACAATAGAAAGAGCCAAGGCTAAAATCAGATGAAATACAATTTCTTTCATAGCAATGAAAAAAGCAAAATATCGTATAAACCACATGGACATGACAACAACGACCTTGTGGATTATCACCATCCAATAAAATGGGTTACGATGATGAAGGGGCAGTGAGACATAAAGATGAATTAGTAACATGTTTGATGGGACCCACCCCCTCCACCATCTAACCCATTGATGGGACAGTGATAACCTCTAGCTCATGTTGTTACGATGCCCTAATGGACCATATCAAACAGGCCCAAGAAGAAAACAGCTTAAGGTATTTCAAATCTAACCTGAGAAAGCATTGACTCTGCAAGGATCTCCGGAAGGCAATGAATATGATGGTTTGGTCCTAAAGCCTCAGATTTGATGTTTTGCCATTGCTTCACGAGAGCTTCTGCTTCCTCAAATGGCATCTCTCTCTTGAGCAGCACACTACCACCAGTAGGTGCCTTATTTAAGGCTGATAGATCATCGACTGGCCACAAATTTTGCGAGGGGCCAGCATTTAAGGGATGCTTAAGCTGCTTCTTAAAGAACAGGATCAACCCATTGATCCTCGTTCCAATCCCACCCTTACTGACAGAAATAGGAGCTATCTTTGGGTCTAACGATTGATCCCTTGTACAAGCAAAAGCACTCGTGCATATAGTAGACTGATTGGAGTACCAATTTGGAATTCGATTGCGCCCAACTTGCAAAGAAAGCAGCTTAAACGTACCAAACATGCAGCATCCTAAGAATGTACTGAAACAGAGCCTCCCTGCCACTCCTTCTGAGGCCCACCAGCTTTCCCATAATTTTCTCCGGTAATTTCCAAAGTTTCTCTTCATTTGCACAGATTGAGAATTATGATTAGAATTAGCCTTCCCCAATGAAATTTGACTCTGCATATTGGCAGGTGTTAGCCGTTTTACAGCAGCACCAACATGCAGAACTGAACTCAGTGGTCGAAGTGTATCATCAGAGACTCCAAGCTTATGATCGGTTGGAAATGGACCACCAAGTGATGAGGATCTTAGGCTTCCAGTGGTACTTTGGTCAGCTTTTTTCTTCTGTTTGCTATCAAGTGGGGATCTCTTTTCTGCCCGGAAAAAATTTACCTGAAAAATTACAACCCACTATTCTAGTCAACTCCAAGCTATGAGTTTTGGTGGCATAATGACAATAGAAAAATTAGACGCAGCTGCATAGACTTCTCCTTCTAAATAAAAACTGAATGTGTACAGCAGTTATAGCGTTAGACTCACCAAAGATGGTGAGCAATCATGTGTATCAGCAAATACACCAAGCACAGAGTCCTTCAACCATTTTTCCTGGTCAATTTCAGCAGGCCTTCTGGCATAAGACACAGTTGCAACCTTAAGCAAGGAAAGTACGACTGGTCTCCCGAGTAGTAGTCGGTTAACAATAGAAGACCAAATTAACTTTAAATGAGTTCACTAAAGCAACAATTTCCAAGTTAGTCCAAGGAAGATATGATATATGGACCCAAGAACAGTAAAGAAATCCAAGGAGAACATAATAATACATAATTTAGACACAAGAAATGATAAATGGACCCAAAATCATAGTTATTGAGACCAGGAAGGATCGGCCGGTACAACTGGTTAGACCACCAACTGTCGCCCTGGCAGGTCTACGCCAAAGCAAATCCAGGTTTGATCGAAAACTAGTCATAATCAATATCTGACCAGTTTTCCGGTCAGACCAGCCGTTTTGGCCAATGCAACTGGTCATATAAAATTGGCCAACTCGTTTTGTACTTTTGTATATATTCCATATTTTTAAATGATCATTTTTACTGTATTTATTTTATTAAATCTGGTCCAACTAGTTTAACTGGCGGCAGGATCCGTTTTAATTGGATCCGACCCATCACTGGTTCAGTGGTCGGTCTGGTTCTAATAACACTGCCCAAAAAAAATTAGAAACCAAGAAAAACATAACAATGCAAATTATCACAATTCAAAAAAATCAATAATATCCAGAAAATTAGACCAACAAACGCATGTTTCCCTGATTTCAAAGGGTGAGTGGGAGATACCAAAGAATGATATGCACTTGTATTGCTTTTATCTTCTTTGCCAGATTTTGCAAGTCTAACATTCTGAAAGGTTGGGTTTACATTTGTTTCAAGCTTCGCAAGCCATTCAGCTGCCACCAATTCACCACCCTGCATGCCTCAAGATTGCATTCACTGAACAGTCAGGTAAAGAAAATAAAAAATAGCAAAAAAGTGAATACCTGCCCAAGAAGGAAAGAACAGAGAGCTTCCTCAAATTTTAAATTTATTCCTTCTGATGCTTCCAAGCACTCACAAATGGTTTTTGCCTTTTGAATCTGTATGGTTAACATGACCAATCACAAAAAGAGAAAAAAAGAAAGAATCTGTATAATTAAAATACCAGGAGTTAATACAGGTTCAAGGCATGCTCAAAAGAAAGGTATGAGTCGTATGACTGACTGGAGAGTATAGTACCAGATCAGTTTGCCTGCTCAAGAAGCCCAAGGCAACATGGGCTAACATGGCAATGTAGAAACAATTGAAATCAATAACAACCCGTTGATTCTGTGATTCAAGAGATTTCTTGTTTTTCCTGGTAAGTGAAAGGGTATCCCAAGATAACAGGTCCACAATTTCGGTAGCCATTAGTTTGCTCGTTGCTTGGCCCAAGAAGCATGGCCAGTCTCTGACCCTACAGGAAGTTTCAACTTCAAGACCCTGTCTAAGCAATTCACGCAAGGCTGCAATTGCTCCCCTTCTTCGTTCTGCATTTTCAGGTGTGTGGGGCATGCTCAGGAACTCTAAAGTGCAGGCAGGCGCAAGCTCCTCCAAAGATTCTTCTATCTAAAATTCATGCCCCAAAATATTTTCTTTAAAACAATATCCCCTAGTAAAAGCAGGTTCAGATTTGGACATGAAAAGATCATCAGAAGGGAATTCATGTGGAGTATAACCTGTGCTAACAGGGGAATCTTTCCTAGAGAAATTTTGCTCCTGAGAAGATACTGACCACGAGCGAGGGCTTCGAAACCTTGAGCTACTTTTCCCTTCTCAAATCCAGACTTTGCAATTGAACACTTCAAAGGATTAACAGAAACATTAATCAGCGCACTTCAGTGAAATGTAAATCGGGAATCATGTAAATCAAACACCCATGTTTGAATAAAGGAACTGGTGTTCAAGTTTGGACACAGCCGGCAACACAGTCATGGGCCCCATGGCCAAAACCAAGTTGACTTGCTGCTAAATAGTTAATTCAGGAAAAACTTGGACGACTTTTTCAAATTTGTGAAAATTTGAAAAATAAAATAAAATAAATAAAGAGTTTGTATTGGGATCCAATCCAGCATGTTACCGAGTTTACCACATTCTTCCCACATTAGAAAATTCCTTTATGTGAAAACAACAGAAAAAAGCAATATATAACCAAAAACTTGAGCACGTCCTGAATTTTCTATTTATAAAACTCGACAACTGGGCAGGTCGAGTTGAAACTGCAAGTCTTTCCAAGCTGAAAATGAGGTTTTATTTACTGAGAGTACACCATCCTTGTCCCCTTTCTCTTACCTCTGCTAGGGCCATGGAAAGAAGCACGTCATGAACATAAGGTTTATCATCTTGGTGCTGTAAAGCTGATCGGCCTATTTCTAGGACCATTTTCTCTTCGCCCACCTACATCATTGAGACCACTTATATCATGTTGGGTAAATGCAGAATAGAAGATAATAAGTTACATCTTCCTCAAGTTTCCAAACTGTTTTGAATGCATGCCATTACATCATCATGGTCATGTTGCCATTACAGCACATGATAAACAGATATCACAGAACTCTACCTCTTGAAGGAGACATAGAGCTCCAGGCAACCAAGCCCAGGGAATACAAAGGGAAGATTTTGGTGGCACATTTTCCTTAATATTACCAGCATACTCTGGTTCAAACAAGAGCTTATCCCTCACATCCATCAAAAGATCCTGAGAGGCAACATAAGAAACAAAGAACACAGTGAATTGGCTAAATTAGACGTCTTCATATTGTTTCTGAAAAGTTTATACTACCTGACGAGATACAACAGCATCCATAGTGTAACCTTCTTCTACTTCAGCACTTTTAAGCTCCAGAACCGATTTGACAATTTCATCCTTTTCAGCTTGGCCTGGAACACCAACAATCTGCAAAAGAATTCAAAGCAAAAGCATTCTGATGAAATGTGACAATGATGAGCTTCCTATAAACAAACTAGCTCCTCTAAATGAAAGAAATAAACAGAAGAGTCATTTTTTATAAGTACACAAGCAAATCTCTGGGGACTAAACTCACAGAATTCTTTTTTAGGATAAAGGATTAAATGAAAACTAAGATATCATCAACCAAATGCAAAGGACGATAAAGAATTCAATAAAGCAACACGGGCCTACCCAAACACATCAAGGACCAGACACTCTGCCCCACTTACTCAAAACAGTAAAAAGGGAACGTTTGGTCAGCTCCAGTTATTCAGCGGGTCCTGGTTCTTGGCCCAGCTCACTGTAACAGGGCCATAATCTCTGGCCCACTGAGCTAGAGAAGAAAAAATATATATAAAAAAAAAAACTCTTTCCGCCGATGTTCATTAAGCCAGAACAAGGAAGAGAGAGACAGAACTACGCCAAGTAAGAAGCCCATCCAAACTGGCCATGATTCATTAGTTTATATCGGATGCCCATACATCATATCTTGCGAATTTTGAAATCATGGCTTGTAAGGCATCACATCACTAAGGCGTCAATTAGTTGACATAAGATGTCAATATTTTATACTTTGCCATTTTGCAATTCTTTATAAATTTTTCTTATAATTTATATTTCAATCTCTTCTGTTTTTATAAGTTAGTTGGATAATAAAGACTAAAGAATGTGCACGCACACACATACACATCTATATGGGTATTTATGTATGTGTTATCTAGATGCCTACCTAAGTAAGATACAAAAATAAAAAATTATACATGACCATAGACGAGTACAAGCACCCAAACACCACGTGCATGTGATGCGTGTACATGTCGTCCCTGGTAACATTTCTTCAGAACTGACAGAAATGCAACTGGCCAGATTTCAGAGTTCTTTTATTAGTTTCTTCTTTCTTTCTTTTTTAAGCTAAGATTGTATTAAGAGGAGAGCCCTTGTAATAGTTGTTCTTCATGGATTCTATATACACATAGAGAGGCTAAAAGGATCCTTTGAATTAGGATTTAGGACTACCATACGAATTTTGAAGGTTTCTCCTCAAAGATACCTAGGACTTAGAATCCTTTAATATAGTTCCGAATCTTCGAAAACAAACAACAAATCAAGTAGAGGTTCATAACTTTCCACAGCAACAAAAGCCCTCAAACAGTCACCACATAGCAAATGAATAAGGAATTTTCTGCTCTTGTAATGGCCATTTGCATCCACCCCCACCCAAGAAGTAGGGTTTTAAGCCCCTCTTTAGGGGCTCATGCCCTATTCATAAATCATTCCTTCATTGTTCTAAAGCACAATTTATCTTATTCAGCCATGAGATGATGGGATTCACCTGTCTTAAAAGATATCCTCCACAAGTTACTCACGAGGTCTATAAAAATGCCTTCTGGAGATAATGAAGGCAATCAACAGTTAGAGTCCTTCCTCTGTCTTTTCACACAAGATGCAGTACGTTCTTTTCCATTATATCCAAAATTTGGCATTCAATTTTTTATTTGACAAATGACAGACTCTGTTCGACATTGTTTGAGACAAATCTGCTGTCTTTGTAGCTCAAGGAAATTTCCAAACAGCTAGAATTTACATCTACATTTCTATATGGTTTCTTTTTTTTTTTCAAATGTTCTATATGTTTCTAATTTTCTTTACTATGTTTAACTCCAAATTTTCATTCTCTAGTTTTACTAGGTCTTCTCTTTTCTAAGTAGTGCTACACAAGAATGTTTTGTATTAAAAAAAATGGCAAACGTGCATGCATTCATTAGAAACCAGATGCAACAACATTAATCATCAATTGACTACAACAAACCCTCAATAAAACACATTGCGATTGGATAAACCCCAAAGTTGGAAATGGATCAATGAAAGCAGCAGTTCAATTTTTTTTTCTCATTTATAGAAGAAATAACACGAGGATTTTTTCTTAAACAGGAATCCATATAAACATAATTGCCCCCAAAAAAAAAAAAAACTATCTACGTGACTATAAAAAAATAATCAAACTTAATCATACATAGTGAACTGTTCAAACTAATAAGAATGACACATGAACTGTTCAAATTAATAAAAATGACACAACATTACGTTGACCAAAAAAACCACCAAACAATCCCAAAAGTAGAGAAGTTAATCACATAATTAAAAAAAAAGGGAAACTCCTAACCTGATAACAGCTAACAGGTATCTCCACGGTCTTTCGAATCTCTCCATTCTCGACTGTTTGTGCCTCTGTTACCTTCAATCGACCGGTACCATTAACCTTGCTCCCCCTCAAATGTCTCTTATCAAGATCAAGGGATGGACCAGACAAAAATCTACCTATGTGAAAACTTGTTTTCCCAGATAAACTATAGACAGTGCTAGCTCGCCTTGTCTCCTCAAAAGCACCATTGAAGGGGCACGAAGTCGAGATACTCAGCATCGAATGAGCAGAAGCCATACATGAAGACCTTACAACCTCACTATTCAACATGAATTCCAGATGATCTTAGAGTAGAGAGATCCATGCTTAAAGCTCCAAACTATCATTATGCAAAATAAATAAAAAAATGGCACCATGCCACCATTCGCATTCCCTAATCCTCTCTATTTATCACAAGGAGCAATTTTTCTTGAAGACTCAAAAATGAACTTGAATGGAACCTCTGCAATGCGTCACAAGTTTTCGGGTTCCCTAATAGTACACAAACCCTAAACCCACTTGCATTCCTCACAAAAGGCAAAAAACCAGCTAACCTTATGGTTTACAGTGATTTCCTGAATCAACACCTCGCCATTTCCTTTCAAAAACCAAAAAACCAGTCGATTTTAGGGTTTCCTAACATTACCACAAAGTCAAAATTCGCAACCCATTTTCTGCAAAAACCAAATGATTTTAGGATTCGGAACTTCACCAACCCTAAATCCTCCCCTCATCAATAGAGGTCATCAAGGCTAGCAATTAGAGATGAAATCGAAATCCCTAATTTCTCGCCATGAATCAGAAAACCAGTTGAAATTTCTAGGGTTTGTAAAAATGAGGACAGGAAGGGGGAAGCAGAGAGAGTGTCGGACTGTGATTCAAGTGCCGTTAAAACACTTTAAAAGGCAGGTAATGCGAATCGATCCATAACGGAAAAGGTCTCGCAATGGAAATCTCCTGTAAAAATTGCCCCAATTTTTTTAATTATAACGAAATGTTAAGGATTAAATTTCTATAGGGCCTAGGCCTTATGAAAACAAAAGAAAGCCTCACCTCAAATAGAAAGCACTTTCGGCAATTGGAAATTCCCACTGATCAATTTTCAACACCGATAATAAATTTTGAAACTTAAATAATGGTACAGATCTTTTGGATCTATGAACACTTCATTTTAACGTGAAATAGACACTCTAGATAATTTGTTCCAATATACAAGATTTTTAGAGCTTAAAATCCTAAGCCGAGGTGATCGTAAAGATTTTTTTATACTTGAATTGTATTTTTTTATGAATTGTGAGATGAGGTTGTACTTATTTTGATAGGACTACAGCCCTATCAATCCATTGTCCAAATGTTAATACAAAGTAAAAGGGGTGTGGTTTATACAAGGTTGTAATTTTAAACTATCAAAATAAGAAGTACCTCTAAATTTTATCATAAGATACAATTTTGGTGCCAAAAAGTACTAAGATGGCTTGAAAATCTATTTTTATTTTTTATTATAAAATTTTAAACTTTAAAACATTGCTCAAATAAAATAAACCTATAAACACATTAAAATCTTGAAAATAGATTGTCCATATCATATGTACCAAAATGTACTATTTCTCATACTCAAAATATTTTTTTTCAAATCCATACATTTTAATTGCTAAATAACATAAATAATCTTCCGTATTGCTAAAAATATTTTATTTTCATATTTTATGCTCATGCTTTCTTTTTGAGTTTTTATATTGTCATTGTCTATGAGTATGATCTTACGAGAACCTCTCACACTCATGTGTGTAGGACCCCAAAGGATCACCATTAAATGTGGTATAGATCTCTAAAAAAGTTAAATCCTACCCCTATATGATAACGTTGTTAGAAATCTATGGCAAATTTAATGATGATCCATTATAGTCCTATATACATGGGTATGAGAAGGTTTCATAGGATCATTACTCTTTTCAAATACTATTGGTTTAGCTGACCCCAAATAATTGGGAAAACATTCGATGGCCTTCGGTTTCGAACTTTAACATTTGATGACCTTCAGTTCCGAACTTTTTGAACTTTGACGTCTGAACTAACGCCCCTTTTTTAGTGACATTCATATTCACAGTTCTGAAAATTCAGCAGTTTGGAACTTTCCAGATTGCTTATTCACTCACGAAGAGACTTATGACTTGAAGTTCTGAACTACTTATTCACCCAAGAAATACACCAGTTGTTCCAAACATAGGACGCATGTATTTTTCAGGTGAATTGAGTAATTCAAATCGTCAAGTTCTAAACCGTGCAATCTTCAACAAGTCAGTTTGTGACTTGAATATCTGATTCAATATGCTAATCAAGATGAGATAAAAAAAAGACACCAGTTTGGAACTTGAAGTTTGCAGTTCGGAGTGGTTGGTATTTTGGAAATAAAAATTTAAAAAGTCAAATCCAACAACAGCGTAAAATACGAAAAATAAAAGACATTTTAAATATTGCAAAGAGGAACATATATGAATTTCCATGTAGCATGTAACTAAATAATCTATAATTTATATACTGCCTAAAACCTAAAATTGTTTAATCTTCATCTGGCAATTGGCAATGGATAGAAGAACGAAACAACAATGTTGTGGCACCAACATTATTTCTCATGCTGTAGTTAGTGTGTGTCATTGTTTCAGGTTTACTAATGGAATTAGGGCATTGGTAGTTAGGAGGGGCAGGTGCCTCGAGATAGTCTTGGGCTCCATTCTCATCACTAACACTTCAAAAAGGGAAAATAAAATAAATAAAAATAAAAAATAAAAATAAAGAAAAAGAAATGCTTCCAATTGTTCGATCTACGTGTCTCTTAAGTCAAAATACACTCAAATTACATGTGGAGATACATTGAAAGCTCATCATTAACTCAATGCAAATGGAAACATAACGTAGTACAAGGAGATCACTTGCTTTTGGCGTAAAAAAATCACAATCATTATTGACAGTTAGATTTGAAATTGAATTATTAAGTATGTGTCATTATTTGGACACAAAGTCCAAAATAAAGTTTTTCAAATGTTGTAACATAATTTTATCCATTAGATTTTACAGCTAATAAAAGTGAATATGATCTTCTTATACAAAAAATAAATAATTTTATAATACACGGTCTACTAAATACCCTAAGATGAAAGTCACAATGAATAAAAAGCAAAGAAGGAGATATTAGCACCCTTATTGTTTATTCAACATAGAACAAGCACATAGAAGAAAAGTTGATGAGATACTTGAGCGAAATGATGTTTTTAAAAGAGTATACAACACGCAATGTGCTCCTATAGGAGCAAAGTGCAGACTGTTCCTACGTGCATATGAGCTACTTATGAAGATTTTTTGGATTAAAAATTTCCAGATTCATTTAATCATTCCAAATAATAATAATAATAATAATTGTATTCTTAAACGCCTATATATAACAATCCAAAAAATTGGGCCATCTCGATTCAAGCTAGGGCGTGATACCTTTACGTACATGCACAATGTGTATTTAAGATTTTTTTATTTTTAAGTTTTAAAGAGGTTGGTTACGGGATTGAGAAGGTTACATCCCAAAATTTTAAAACTATAAAAATATTTCTAGATAGGCTTTTAACGGGCTGTATAGCATATATTATTTTAACTTTAGGGTGTCCACTTTGTAAATTAGTTTGACCACCTCTATGATAATTAAAGGTGGTTCAACCATTTTAATGACATATTTCTTTTCTCTAATGGATGAAGTTTATGTAAGGCCTAGGCTATATGAAAATAGAATAAACCTCATTTCAAATCATCATTCAAAAAGTACTTTCGGCAGTAGAAATTTCCTTGATGGATTTAAAATCAATTTCCAACACCGATAATAAAATTTGAAACTCAAAAAACTATACAGACCTTGTGGATTTATAAACACTATTTTTAGAAAGGAATAGACGGTCTAGATAATTTGTTATAATATATACTATTTTTAGAGGTTGAAATCTTAATTTTTTCAATGTTCAAGCCGAGATGATCAATGTAAAGATCTTCCATTGCTTGAATAGCAAATTTTGATGAAATATGAGGTGAGGCTTTACTTATTTGTATAAGGTTACAGCCCTATCAGACCATTTTCCTTCTCTAATTTCATATATTATTGGTTTTGAACTTTATGTTGTTATGTACAAAGAAAGTATAACATGCAAGAAAGAGAAAGTAGCTTCCTCAACGTGGCAAGTCTTTGTGCACATGCGAAACTTACACCCAGAATTTACATGGTCCTTTTACACTTTTCTTTAACGAAAGGGATGCCCTTTTGGCTTAACGAAGGCGTACTCCCGCGGGAGCGAACTCTTCATTTACTCCCTCTAGCAGAAGATTTCTTTGTGATCCTGCTTTATGATTACGAGTAATTTAAAAATCCAAAAGATTTTTTATTCCCTCTTGAGTATACTGTCCATTCACTCCCTTGGATAAAAAATTCCGAAGACATACTTTTTAGATCTCAAATTTTAGGAATGTATTCTCTACAACCAATAGAGTAGTATCAACAAAAAAAAAAAAATCTGAAAACATACTCTCTAGAATGCCTCAAGGTTGAATAGACACCATCCAATTTTTGAAAAGCTGGATCCAAACATCACAAAACTCAAAATTCAATTTTTTTTCTTTTAAAAAATAATCATCTAGTAATTCTTTATGTGATTACCAAAATTTTAGATTAAAAAAAAAAAGCCCTAAATAAGTGGCTTAAGCAAGGGAGTAGATGCACAATATGCTCCCACATGAGCATATCATATGTGCTCATTTTAAAAGGAGCATATAAATATTATCGCTTTGCACTTTTTCCAGACGCCATTTGCCTTTTATTTGGATGAAAGAGAACAATCGCATGAGTTGTAATTTCTTTTGTTTTGAAAAATGCAATTTATAAGATTCTCTCCAACCAGATATCATATTCCATCACACATAAACAAATTGTTGTCATCTCTATCTGTCTTCTTTTTTCTTCTTTCGTTTTTTTTGTATTATCTAACTACTGACTACTCGAATACAGACCCAAGTCCAAGCCCAAGCCCAAGCCCAAACCGTTTTTGCCTTCTTTTGTACTTTGATCGTCTCTGTATAACAAGTGGCAAATTTGGCTAAACGCCAATGCATGAAACGTGAAAAAGAGAACAAGACTTGCTCTCCAACACGCCCCTAAAAAAGTGTTGCATTTGAAAGAGGCCACTACTGCACTGACAGAGAATAGAAAGGAAGAGATAGAGAGATTGAGATTGACCAGTGTTTAGAAATGAGGACTCTTGGCTTGGAGTCATTAGAGGCCCAAGCCCGAATCACCAGAATAGGATGCCCGAATCACCGGAATAGGAAGCCCGAATCACCAGATTTTATGAGAAAATATGACTAGACTCCAGAGAGCTGATTTTTGTGCAGCTACCTCCAGATCTCTAGGGCCCTAATATAGGTCAACTCGGAATTGGATTGAACATTTGGGGGATATCAAGCACCAGTATGCAGGCTTGAGGGAGTGACAAAAATATCACTAGGAGTAAGGTACACATGAGAGAGGAGCACAAAGGGAATTGGGTATGGGCTTGAGTGGTAAGTAGCTGAAGTTTAGCAGCACTATAGCTCAAGTTTGATTTCTACCGTTAAACTGCCCAAAAAAATAGGCAAGAGGGAGCACCTATGGACTGTGTAGAGAGAAAGACTTTACCCATATGATATGTGTGTGTGTGAAGGGAGCGATACTGTTATTGGGAAGATAGTGTGTGTGCGTGCGCGAGTGAGTGCATCCTTGTGCGTGTGTATGTGAGCGCGAGAGAGAGAGAGAGAGAGAGAGAGAGAGAGAGAGAGAGACGAACAACGTAACGTACGTTAGTATTACGTTATACTACTACGGTTAGTTACGTACTACTAAGTAAACGTAAAACCTAACCCAACCC